TATCAGCTTCCATCCATTTTCGAATATTGAATTGTTTAAAACTGATTTCGCGTGCAATACGTATAGATTTGCTGATAAACTCAGCGTCTTTTTCTTGTTTGACAAATTCACAAGTTGGATAATACCCAGCATGTTCAACCCAAGGGTCGTCGTCGGCCTCAAAGCAGATAAGTCCTCCAAAACAATTAAAACAATTTACGCGGTCGCCGGGTCCTGTATAAAATAACCCCGCCTCGGCAATTAATTTAATATTTATAGGAAATAAGTGTTCATGTGAATTGAATGAAGCCACTCGGGCTTCATAAGTATGATAATTTTGACGATCAACGATCATATCAATTGGCAATTCATTTCCACATACAATGTTGTTTGGATTTTTAATAGGATCCAAACCTATTGGTACATTTCCCACATCCATTTCCATAATAAATGGACATAAAGGGAATTCAAGTGAATGCTTTCCTAAAGGACGATCGCCTTGTTTCCAATCACTGATAATTCCTCTGCAAAATGCACATTGAACTTTGCCATCTTTTAAATGAAAAAAACCTGCATTTGCGAGACTTTGTGCCGATACATACTCACAAGTCCATTCTGGTAAATATTGACTATTAAAAGTTTTCAGCCGTGTATATTCAAGTCTCATGAGTTTAAAAAAATTTGTTACCCATTCGCAACGTTGATCAGATACTTTGAGAAACATGTCCAAAATAGTTTTGAGATTTAGATCATTTGAACTTTTGACTATATCCATGTTTACGTGTTCTGATCTATGCATGGACTGAGTCGAAATATAAAATGCTTCTTCTATTTATATTGTGCGGATTACAGTGCCATCTATACATTATTTTAAGTAATGTGCTAAAGTAGGAAATAGGAGTATTTTATAAAAAATAATTGGTTACATTGAATAGTATAATAGGATATTAAATATAAAATTACAATTAATTATTAATATATTTGTTTAGCGGTTTATATTTCGTGATGGTATATTAGTTACACATCGTCGAATGACAATTTATTATATATTACCAGCAGCAAATAGATTGTTTGATTTAGTAATCAAAATGTTGTATTCATCTTCATCAAAATAAATTGAAATTAAATATAGTTAAAAATATATATAGCTCTATACTCAATAGCTAGAAGTGAACTGGGCAGTAAATAAAAAGTCAGCACATTATATAGCCATGTTAAGAGTTAATATAGTAGCAAAAGAGGTGGATACAAGTTTAACTAGGCGGGGCGTATTTAATATAGTATTGTCTTAATGGAATTTTAAAATCAATAAAAATAATAAATTTAAACTGATCTATGCATGGACTGAGTCGAAATATAAAATGCTTCTTCTATTTATATTGTGCGGATTACAGTGCCATCTATACATTATTTTAAGTAATGTGCTAAAGTAGGAAATAGGAGTATTTTATAAAAGATAATTGGTTACATTGAATAGTATAATAGGATATTAAATAAAAAATTACAATTAATATATTTGTTTAGCGGTTTATATTTCGTGACGGCATATTAGTTACACATCGTCGAATGACAATTTATTATATATTACTAGCAGCAAATAGATTGTTTGATTTAGTAATCAAAATGTTGTATTCATCTTCATCAAAATAAATTAAAATTAAATATATTTAAAAAAAACTTACCACCTCAATAGCTAGAAGTGAACTGGGCAGTAAATAAAAAGTCAGCAATTATATAGCCATGTTAAGAGTTAATATAGTAGCAAAAGAGGTGGATACAAGTTTAACTAGGCGGGGCGTATTTAATATAGTATTGTCTTAATGGAATTTTAAAATCAATAAAAATAATAAATTTAATATTTACTAATANATTATATAGCCATGTTAAGAGTTAATATAGTAGCAAAAGAGGTGGATACAAGTTTAACTAGGCGGGGCGTATTTAATATAGTATTGTCTTAATGGAATTTTAAAATCAATAAAAATAATAAATTTAATATTTACTAATATTATTTGATTAATTAATGATGTTAAACAAAATAATTAAATTTAATAATTATGAAAAATATAGTTGTTGTGTAAATTGTATTTTATTGCGACATATTGGGCAATCGCTTAATTGTTTTGAACACAGAGTACAAATCATATGACCGCACGGTGTAAATGAGATTCCAAGCTCGTGAACCATACATACTTTACACGTCAGTTCTTCACTCTTTGCAATAGGCGCAGTTGTCTTCTTTTCAGTAGCGTCCATGTTATTTGTTCTTCTATAAATAACAAGAAATTTATTAAATTCTATCTGATCTTTAAATGGTTCTTTCTTTTCATTGTATCTTAAAATCATAACATTTAACAACTCTGGGTATGATGTGACACGNAGTTGTCTTCTTTTCAGTAGCGTCCATGTTATTTGTTCTTCTATAAATAACAAGAAATTTATTAAATTCTATCTGATCTTTAAATGGTTCTTTCTTTTCATTGTATCTTAAAATCATAACATTTAACAACTCTGGGTATGATGTGACACGCCGTTTTAATGCCCCCCAAGCAAGGCCCGATAACATCCATTCATGTAGTATATCATCACGATTTGATAATAAAGGCCTTTGTATCCCATATTTGTTTTCTCTAATAACTTGATCAATAAACTCTTCTCCTTTTATAATTATAACAAATTCGCACCACGGAAACCATAAGGCATGCTCTGTCCATATATCTTTAGTGATGTGCCGAGAAAAAGATCTTAGTGTACCTCTACAACTAAAACATTTTACGCAATCATAATACCCAACCATATAGAAACCAGCTTCAGCAAGAGATTCTGATGTCCTACTACATTTTTCATTCCAATCTTTACTATATGTACTCAACCTTTCATCATAAGAAATATACCTTGGTTTAACAGTCGATTCAGCTGGTGTAACATTAGAATTACCCATTGCTACTAAATCTAAAGATTTAAATCATAAGCCTTATATAGATGTTTAGACGGTGATTAGTAAAGTTTAAATAGGCGGGGCGAAATGATGCGTGAATTAAATGGTTAGATAGGGGGAGGGGCAAATAATATAAAACAAATTGAAATTTAAAAATACTTTTATTAAATAGAATTGAATAAATTAATTAAATATAAGTGAATACATTTGTTAAATATAAGATATAATTAAGGTTAAATATATAATTAAAAAAACGTTTTAAGAAATGTTTGAACGGGATAGCGGCAAATTGGACATGTTTTAAGTTCTTTAGCACAGTATTGGCATGAGATTTGGTGGCAACAAGGAAATAATACAGTATTCAAATTATTTTCAAAACAGATTTTGCACAACATTAAGTTATTGGTCTCATCTGAATACTCTTTGATTGGTTCTAATTTACCATATTTGTCAAAGCAGGCATCATATAACTGAGCAAACGATGTAAACGGTTTGCGATCTCGGCTCCATTTTTCATTCATCACTTCCAAAATTTTAGTTTTAGAATGAATTTTTGAATCAAGCATATGGCGCACAAACGGAGCTCTCATCCAATTTGAAATTGTAATAAGTTTAATATTTGATTCGCGAACAAAATTGACAGAATCGTTAATGAAAGTTTGCCCTTTCTCTTGTCTGACAAATTGACAATGTGGGAAAACGCCAGCATGTTGAACCCACGGATCGTCTCCATCATTAAACGAGTTGACTCCTCCAAAGCAATAAAAACATTTTACGCGATCGCCAGGACCTATATAATGAAAGCCGGCTTCAGCCAATTGTCTTATATTTACCCGAAATAATTCCTCGTTTGAATTAAATGATGCTAATCTGTCTTCATATGTCGTATAATTTGGATCGACAAATTCCCAATCCATTGGCGAACCACCAGATCCACAAACATCATGTCCATTCTTTATAGGATCCAAGTCTATTGGGATATTTCCGACATCCATTTCCATAATAAACGGACATAGTGGGAAATAACATGCGTGCGCTTCTAGAGCTCTATTGCTCCGCTCCGCTCCGCTCAATTTACTAATTGTGCCTCTACAAAAAGCACATCTAACTTTGTTTTGTGACCACCGAAAAAACCCCGCATTTGCTAAACTTTCGACAGAAACACCTCCAATATCTAAGTCTTTCTGATCCCAAAATTTAATGTCAAATGATTTTAAACGAATAGATTCCGATTTCATTAGGTCGATAAAATCATTTATATATGACGCGCTGTTGTTAATGTCTTTGGGATATTTTTTAAAAAATTCAATAATAGCTAACGAGTCGGGGTCCTCGTTACTAGCCATGTTTATGCTTTTGATTCTGTGTATTGAATGAATAAGAAATGTTGTGTTTGCTCTATTTATATGGTGATAAACACAAAGCCACCTAAATATTTTCTTTAATAATTATTTCAAGTGTCAATACAGAACGATTGAATTCAAAGTATTTATAAAAGTTGGGTACTATAGTATTAAATTTGATACTTTTAAAATCAATCGCTTCGCGAATATCATTTGCATTGTAATCACTTACTTTCTTTGAACTGTTGTGCGGTATGCTAAGTGTTTTACCAGGCATACACGTATAATAAATTAAAACGAAAAATGTATCATTATCAGTTAAAACATTTAATAGCTTAACTATAATTGAATCAATTATATCGTAAAATTCCGTTTCTATATTTAAATCTGTTTTGTAATTTTGTAAAAATTGAATACTTATAACTTTTTTAATTAATCCAGAATAATGATCACATGTGTAATCGATAACTTTAAAATATGTATTCATTGGATCACATG